GCTGGCAAATTTTTATGCTCCCATCCAAAGCTAAAATGTTCAAATTTTTCATTTCATTATTTTGCCAATTTGAAGGAAGCTGTTTTCCTCAGGCAGCACTAGAAGGCCATTCTCTCTCCCTATCACCATCCCCTGGCAACCTCAGATGGCCCAGGTGAGTGTCTCGGACTCCAGCTGCCATCGAACTGCCACCAGGTCACCCAGGGAGCAAGAGCCTGTGAGACTGTGCCTCCTGGTTGGGCAGGCAGGTCAGGGCTCAGGCTCACAGTAGTGGCAGCCTGGGACTCTGCTTGGCCCCGCCCACACAGCGCCCACCAGGCCTTGCTCAGCTCGCCCTGCCTGGCCCAGCTGGTCAGGCCCTAGGCCAGTGTCTAGGCGGGGCGCCTCCTTTGGGTGACAGGGCTGGAGGGCACCCCATTACTAGTTTAAAGGCTTCCCCTCAATATCAAATTTGGACTTATAATCCTTTTGCCAAATGAAATCTCTTTTTACACTGGGGGCAGGGTATCTTAGGCGGATTTTGATCTTTCCAGACCCTGGAGGATGGTTTCAGCCCAGGGTGAATTAGGCTCATCCTCAGAGATGGCCTTTTTTTGAGTTTTTTTTTTTGTTTGTTTTTTGTTTTTTGTAAGAGGGCGGAGAATTTCCGCAAGGGGGAGCGATGACAATATGGCGGAGGCCATTCCCCATCCTGTCTACCAAGTGTTCTGGGACAGGGGCAGTTAGGGTGAAATTTAGGGGACCAGGCCAAGGATTGGTGGTAGGAGGAGTAGGTGTTTTGAGGGCAGATAAAAGGGTCTTGAGGGGCCAGGAGAGAAACAGGCAGTCCCTCAGAAGGGGGTCCTCTCCCAGGTTAATTTCCCTCTTCCTCACCAACTGTTCTGTGTGGTCCCAGGTGGCCCAAAGCCTGAGGGTGGAGTGGGACAGGACGGGGGACACAGACGCCCAGGCGCCAGTGGGGCCTGCAGCAGACCATGAGAAGAAACGACTGGGGCTCCCGCAGGCCGGCCTGGCTCCCTCTGGCAACCCTCTCCCTCCTCCTCCCCCTCAGCCATCCACCAGGACACCACGAGTGTCAAGGTTTCCCAGACCTTTTTGGCCTGCGCATCCAAGATCTCTAAACCTCGGCTTTTGAGCACAAGAGCTGGGTCATTATGCCTAGTGTGAGATTGCCCCATCTTTCCAGGGATACCCTCACCTCAGAAAACTCGCTTGGCTTGGCTTGATACTCTCACTCTTGATAAGCTGAGGTCTTCTTGTCCCACGTGGGGCGCCAGATGTTGGGGTTTTTAGCCCCCCCATTTCTTCCAGACCTGTGGGAGAGATTGTGGGAGCACCCCCCAACCAGGACAGGCCAAGAAAGGTAAAGGTCCACTGGCGGCCCGCACCCAGCCCTCCCTCTCTGGAGGACAATCAGATGTGCCAGGGAGCACTGTCAAAGCAGGATTTCGTTTAATGAGAAAACATACACAACTAATATAATGTACAGGAGTCAATCAGGATAAAGGTCAGCAGGATGGGGAGAATTTACATCCTTCCTCTAGGTTTCAGTGCACCCAAATTTTTCTGGAAATTCCTAACAAGATAGCTTCTGGACGTTCTAAACTCGCTAATCACCTACACAGTGATGAGGTACACGGGAGGTGACACACTCTATTCGCCGCCATCTTCAGAGCAGGTCCTCCTTTAAAATTTTTTTAAATTTTCAGACAGGGTCTCATGAGGTTGCCCAGATTGGCCTCCAACTTGAACTCCTCCTGTCTTGTCTACCTCAGTAGCTTTGATTACATAAGGTGTGTGCTAACATGCCTGGCTATAAATCTATAATATCTTTCACAGTATGGTGAGGGCATAGAATCTGATTATCAAAAGAGTTAGGCACATGATTATTTTAAGGTGGAAAAGAGAGGATTTTATAATCTGGAAGGAGCATACGGGAAGCGCCTGGGGTACTGACAGTTTTATTTCTTGACCAGAATAATATGATACAGGTATTTGCTTTTTTTTGTAATTCATTATGTTCTATATTTATCTCTCTCTCTCTCTCTCTCTAACTCTCTCTCTCTCTCTCTCTCTCTGTGTGTGTGTGTGTGTTTGTGTGTGTGTGTGTGTGTGTGTGTGTGTGTGTAGCAAAGCTTACTTTTTTTTAAATAAGAAAGTATAACCAAGTCACTAAAGACAGATACTGGGCTGGAGTGAGGTGGAGTGGAGCGTCTCTCTTGATGCACACACATACTGTCAATTTCCTGTCTCAGGTACATTTTGAATTGTTTTGACATTCACTGGCCAATGATGATGAATCTAAGTTCACCAAAAGCAATATTCTATTAAAACAGTCATCCTTTCTTCTTTGTTTTTGCAGTGCTGGGAATTGAACCCAGGGCCTTTTGCATGCTTAGGCAAATACTCAAATTCTTTCCTATACCTATCAGCACTCCTTCACCTCCCAATAACTTTCAGCTCATCATTGCATACAACCTAGCATCAAACCAGCCGCCTCCTGTACCCCAACATAGGTTGTAGTGTAAGTGGAAAGTGCATTTGGCTGCCATTGCTATCTCTGCTATTTTTTTCCTCTGCCCTCAACTTGTCATTGCCAATGTTAAAATAGTCCTTACTGGTCCTACAGTTATCCTCTTAACTCCTCTGATTCCTGTGTTCTGCAGCATATGGAAACTCAGTGATGGAGGAAGTTGAGCTAAATTACAAATAAGACCCAAAGTAGGGAAGAGAAAGAGTGGAGAGAGCAAGTGTCCACCATCCATACAACCCCCATGGCCACCAGCTATGAGCTCTCTGTTGCTTCCAGATGTCTGAATAGTTCAACCCTAAAATCCCATCCTGATAGTCTATTTATAAGTGAGTGAACATAAGACACTAAAGTGATTTGGCTGATGTGCAACAGAAACATGCCACACTCAAATTGCAGACACATAAGCAAAAGAAATGACTGCTGTTGTTTTAAGCCACTTCATTGTGGAATGGATCGTTATGTAGCAATACATAACTGAAACCACTCCTATGGCCTGGATTTTGACCTTAGTTGTTCAGCTAATGCAAGAGGACAGGGATATTTTTAATGAGATTGTACAGATGGTTTGCTTCACCAAGATCCATGTCAGCACAAGTGTGGAGAAGGGATTGAAGGGGGCCAATACTAGAGACAGAAGAAGGTTAGGTTTGAAATAGAGGCCAGAGAAAGCCTTGTTATATGACTCACCAGTGTTAATCACAAGCCCAGATGAATGGTTTTGGGCAATCTGGACA